TCCAAGGGGTAGGGCCCCAGTAAGGGTAGTAATCGCGTTCCTCCGGAACCTCCAAGCCCCTCCTTGTCCCTGCGGCATTTTGTCGCGTATAAATCGGTAGATCACCTTTAAGTTGTTGATCAGCAGTGAACAAGCCTGGAGTATGAGCAAAAGTGTCATTACTATAAGGAGAGTGACTAATGAGAGTCATTTTTGTATCAGTCAGTTCTGTATTTCAGTTTGTTTAAACCTCTTACCTTTGTTTCTCTCTCTCCGATAATACGCCTGATAATAGTTGGCTGGTTCGTGAAGTCCTCTGTCTCTTCTTATGTAAGCATTCTCTCGCGCGTTTTTTACAAATGATTGAGTGGTAAGAGTCTGCCCATTACGAATTGTATGATATTCAAATTCTTTGTTCACGTCGTTGGTTGCCATCTTGCCCTGTGGATAAGGCTGACACATGTACTGTAAAATAACTTGGGTTTCTACCATGTCATTGGTACCTGGTCCAGTTCCGTGTTGGTTTGTCCACATGATATCAACTTCGGTTTTTGCCTTAGCATCGCATCCACTCATGTAATATTCCTGATTGGATCATTTAAAAAAATATCAAGCATAAGAAAAAAAAAGGCAAGAGAGCAAACAAAAAGACAACTGCTAACAAATGATAAACGAGTTTTACCTGTGGCAGCTGTCTGAACTCTTGAATGTTGTCGCCAGGGTTGCTATCCAAACTGTCGCCGACATTGTAACCAGCCTTACCATTATTCTTAGAAAGAAAGAAGACGAAGGAATCATTTATGAACTGAATTACTCTTGTCCCCTATTATTATGTAGTTAAATCTCTTTTCAGACTGGGTTTACCCTTATGTCTAAATTAAATAACTACGAGGTTAAAACTTCTGCAAAAGTCCATTGGGCTAATTTCATTTCCCTCTTCTATTAGATATTTTACTTTTGTATGCTTTAAAAATTTCACTTTTTTCTCTGTTACCTTAAGCGAGAATCTAAAAGTAGCACTGACGAAAATTTTACAGCCGATCATCGATGTTGTACAAGTAGTTTCTTAGCTTTCCAAGCTAGTCGTTATTCAGGTTTGCTTTTTAACACCAGCAGCAGTAACACTATTGGCCTTTATTCTTCTCTGAATATCATGGTAGATACTAACCGACCCATTTTTTCAAGGAAAGCAAACAACAAAATTAATAAATATACTCTTCCCAGAAAAATTAACTCTGTGTCTTAAAACAGATGAAGATGACTTTGTGATAGGAATTGGTCAGTTTATCATCTTATTTGACCTGTGCTGTACATATCATCGGAAAGTTTGGGCAAAAAACAATTAGTAAGCGAATGGGTGCTTCCAAGATTTTCCTGATCTAAGCTGCTTCATGTAGTTACTTCTTGTATTTTCTTTTTGCTTGTTTGGCCGACCGACCAATCAGTCGACCACTTTAACGAGTAGGATGGTAATGGGGAACAAAACATGTTTGAGGGATGGCTTAAAAAAAGGTTACCGTGATGAAAAGCGAGTATGTAATGGCACTGTACCTGTGAATCAAACAGTCTGTTCGCGTTTCTGACGTTATCTTGGTTGCCGTTCAAGCGATTGTTGGATCCTGGTGGAGCATGCAAGTACATGTCCGATATACAAGGCTCGATTAGAGTAGCCATAAGGCAGCCCCAAACAAAAATGGTCTTCATGACCTGTATGAAAGCCAAGATCAGTGTTAACGAGAAAAATGCGGAAAAAATTGGGTATACCTAAGTTTTAGCTCAGTTCAGGTTGTCATGGTAGCATATTTTTTCGTTGTCATGACATCTCAGCTAATTTTGTGGTACATGCAATGCAAGCGTTGTTTAGCGATCACATGCCTTACTTTTAGGTTACTTTGACTCACAGAAAGAGTCATGAAAAGTATTTTAAATGATTACTGGTCATTACTAATTGTACGATAATTGAATATCATGAAATACCTCTTAGTTCTGTCTACCACTTGAAGCTGTTTCTTGTTCAGCAACCTTTAGAATTTAATTGCGCGGAGAACTCAACTTGTTGATGGCTTTGATTAAACTGGCCTAAAATGACCTTAGCCGTTCAGTTCTAAGTGGAAACTCGCAGCTAATGCCAGTTTGAAACAAATCACTTGCTGGGCAGACCTCTGTGTGATTGATAAGACAATAAATGAAGGAAACAAAGGCAAATTCGACCATAGAGCAGCAGAGGTGATCAAAATGTAACTTTAAAATGAAAAGAGTGGCTTTTTGCCGCCGATCTTTTTTTAAAAATGCCTTATTTTAATTTTATATTCAAGGTGATACTCAAAAACCTCCTCGGTAGCCTGTCCAAGAAAACACACAACTTTTCGGCACGTGCATGTGTCAGTAATTACACTGCTATTTCCGTCACAAAGAAGAAAATTTTTTCCGCATTTAACATCCGTATATGAATATTATATCTTAGACACAGCTGGAGGTTACTTAACCATAAAGCTTAACAATGGGTACTGCGGAAAATTTTAAGGCTAAAAGCGTAAACAAGAATTGTTTTTATATGATAAACAGCCATAACCGCAAATCCGGAGGTATAATATTTAATTGAGTAACTGAAGGTTTTATAGAGCTCACCATACAGAGGGTCTCTAATAGGTTTTTCGGGATCAGGGATTGGGCTTATTTAAAGGCCGGGATCTAAGAATTTAAAGTAAGAAGGGAGCGAGATGCGGGATTGCTATTATGAACGGGACACGGGATTCGGGAAATAATCACTTAAACGAACCGAGTACCGGGATGTCCGTTGACGAGAATTTAGGAAGAAATTGATCTTCTCAGTCATGCATACAGGCTCTCTAGTATTCAAGAGGCGGTCGGGTTACTCAGCGGCACTCTTCAGTAATTGCCCGGGAATGAAAATTATATGAGAAGCGAAGTTGCCAATTTATCAAAAATCCTCAGTTGCCCACGGAGCTCGTGTAGAACGTGGTCTGCTGCGTCAATTGAAATGCTTAACAGCGTTGAAAAGCCTTCAGCAAGTCTCAGAATTATACCGATGTGATGCTCTTAACCTGATGAGTTACATGACACTTCAAGAGCAGAATTGTGTTCAGTTTATTTGTCTTTATCTCCGTTGTTATGGAACTACGGGATTGCCGTGACCTTTTGTGTTTCATGCACTTGTTGAAATTGTTTTTCGTTTCTTTGATACTGACCTGCCTGTACCTATACGTTTGTCCGTGATCGAATTCAATGAAAGGGAGTCGCTACCGTGACTAGCGTGAGTTATCCGTGCAAAACTTTGAAAACTTCTTAAATAAACAATATCATCATTTTAGTGAAAAGAGATAAACTCATGCCTGACGGTAACTATAGAAATCAACGGATCAATGCTGGTTAAGAAAATTATCACCACCGGAAAGGCCCTTCTAGGTTTAGGAAATGAGCGAAGACAAAATTGTATGATCGGGATCGGGATCGGGATCGGGAATACGGGATTGAGATAAAATTTTAGTCGGGATCGCGGGATTGAAGAACCCTATTGGCGATCCTCCATACAGTCTGATAGCTGTTTGTTTGGACATGGAAATCAAAACTATGATTTTATAGATAATTGTCATTTGCACACAAAACCGCCTTTTTCGGTAAAAGATCGGCTGATTTAAAGTGCTCTGCCGGAGGGATGTATGTACTGTAGAACATAGAAGCTTTCCGCATTCCGCGATAGTGACTAAAATGAGGGGTTATACAGTACCTCTTAAATCTCGTTGTACTGACCAAAATCTGTTTGCTCGTGTCGAATGGATAACTTGACAAACTCTCGTAAAATATAATGTTTATATTTGTGACATCAAAAGATATGCATTCCCGCGATTCCTTTTCTTGCTGTACTGACACGTTGAACGGTTAGATTAATTAGCCTCGTACTACGTCTCAGGAACCTTGATTTATAGTTGATAGAAAATATCATACGCATTTTCTTCGTTCTTTCCTTGTGGTATCTTTGGAGGTAATGAAGAATAGCTAAATGAAGATTTCAAATAGCGAGTCAAATCTTTGTAGCACTAAGATAACATGAAGCAATAGGTGCACAATCTTCAGGACCACTTGACTCCCACACCAAAGCTACTTGCCCTCGATATAGCTTCAAAATCTCTGACAAATGGCCCAGTTCACTAATTATTTTCAAAATTAAAAAGATTTACCATACAATTCTAGACTGTTTCGCATAATTTTGAAATATATGCAGTTTTTTCTTTCTTCATATTTTTTCTTAAGTTTAAGTCACTTCCTCACCGATATGACGTCTGAGGTTGTTTTCATTTTGAACGTAGTCATTTCCGTTCTGATTTCTAACTCGGCGCTATCACAGATGAAACAAAAGGCAGGTTAATGAATTATCTTTGAACGTAGGGAAGCTATAAATAACATTTGCTTTTGTTAAAAAGTGTTCGGCCGCCATCGCTAAACAATGTTTTAGTTTAATAAACATTTGCGATTCTCTCAGCGGTTGCCCCTATCAGCTCCTCTGTTCTTTTCTTGTATTCCAAACTTCAATTACTCCTCGAGCTTCCCTTTAAATGCACTTTAACCCAATTTCTTAGTTGAAAACTGAAATACAGACAACATCCCACCTTGAACTGAGTAGTTGGAACATCGCTCAACCATACAGCAGATGTTACGACATGCGTACTGCCGCTTTTCTTTTCTGATGCAATGTTGAGTCTGTCAAGCATCCTCTTAATCGAAAGCTCAACTGCTGGTTGGTTCAGATTTGTTTAAATTCTTCCTTCTGCATAAAATGGCTTGTTATGTGAACGAACACTTGAGTTTCACCTCGTGCTCAATTAAAATAGTTTTTCTTATCAGTTTCGTTCTTTGGAACACAATGATGAGTGCTGTACTGCAATTATTTCTAACATTTTGGGCATTTTTATCAATGCAATAAAGGAAGGGAAATGGGTGCCATGCTATTCGATTCATTTTGACGATAAAAAACGTGTTTAAGGGTCTATTGATACGCGCTGAACAACTTGTATGTTCGTCCATCAAAATACGGCCGCTACACTACTTCCGTACATAAATCCCAAAGCGCCCCAGATAGTAGAAGTAACATTGTGCGTTTTCCTTTTCGTGTACAAATTACAAACAGCTTCAGTCTTAATTCTCCAAGGTATCATGTGCCCCCCTTGCATTGCTCGAGTCAGTCAAGAGAAGGAAGATCAGATGATAACTGCGCTTCAGTTGTTCTTCGTCATTTTGCTTAACAGCGGCTTGATGATGCCAACATACACCGTCGTTTCAGCTGTCATTCCCTTCGACAGGTTGGGCTGAGGAAGTTGATGAGTATAAACTATCTGAACAAGGAGCTCGTACAGGGACTTCATCTTTTGTTAGTAATGGTACCGAATCCTAGTCACCATAAATATTTCAACCTGTCTATTTCTGTTGTTTATCTTTTTGCTTTTTGGTAAAATAAACAACTACGTCCCAGCGGAGGCCCATCAACTAAAGTTTGGTGGCTTGGTATCTTAAGTCCTAATCAAGGATATAACCAACAATGTTCATTTTAAAATTTATTTTTATTAATTCGGCTTGTACCTTGGGGCCTTGTTCATCGCGATTACATAAAATGTTCTAATCGTTTTGAGAAATGTCCACTATA